CAAATCTACCTTTGACAATCAATGAATAGTCTCGCTCGAAGCTTCAATGAATCTGGATGAAAGAAAGATCCAAACTACTGAACTGAAAAAGCCCAAAACAACACCAAATAACTTAGAATTTGAGTTCGAAACCACTACATAGATGAACAAAGCACGTTATTGTACCGGTACGAGAGACTTTCCTTTGAGGTGCAATTGAACCAGGCCATACTGGGGTGAAGTATGTTAGAGCTGAGTGTTCCACGATGACAAGAAGCACCACAGGTTGTGGCGAAGCCAATGAGAAAGTGGCGGCTGGTTGCAATTTGTAATTTTTTGAAAATTTGGGACCATGTGTGCAATTAGTTCTCAATTTTTTTCTTTTCCTTTTGTTTTATTTGTATATGAGGGTAAAATTATCCAAAATGGATGAAAAAGACATTCAATGCAAAGAAAGCTAGAAAGAAGGGACGAAAATGCGAAAAAATGAAATGTAGGAACATTTTCCACAATAAACTTAAAATGTATGGCCCCCCATTCGGTAGCAATTCTTCGCCCCAAAAAATTAATTTTTTGACCGTTATTTTACTATTTCAATCATCATTTTTTATTTCTTCATTCATAAATAGGATACACTTTTCTCTTTAACAATTAAAACAATTCTTATTGCATTTAACATGATTATGCCACCGTATAGATGCATTTCTTTTTCATTTATTTCTATACAATAAATAAAGAACAATGATGTTTGTACCCTTGCCTTTACCTGCTAGATGACACTATGACATGGAATGGAAGTATATTTTGGATCTTCAAAAAATAACAAATCTTGCCATATTCATTGTTGGGCTGGGTTTAGGGTTTAAAGTAATGAGGCGGGCAACAATACCCACTCATAAAAAAAGATCGGGTAATTCACGATTTCTCTTTCTCTGGCCGCGATTCTTGAAACCTACCGCCTCTTTTTGAAGCTGTCGTCTCCGGCTTAAAGGTAACGAGTTGTTCCGACTTCAAGCTGTCGCCGTCTTCATAGATTCGACGGTGTAAAAAAGAGTAATTCATCCTAAAAAAGAGTAAATAATAGCTATCATTTTAACGTCTTCGACCCATCCCGTACAGTTACTCTTACTATCATTTTGATGTCTTCGACCCATCCCATATTCCTTCGGTTGAGAAGGAGCTATTGACGTCGTCGTCGTGTGAGTTACGTCGTCAGCCCAAAAGATACTGTGGATTGGAAGAGATGAGCAGGAAATGTGTGGTTTTGTTAGTCCTAAACGCTTTGTTTGTACCTAATACAATAATTATGCTACTACTATTTTTGTTTTAAATTGATGGATGCTCATTATCATTATGAATTCTCGATGTGATTGAATATATATGGGTCCATAATACATTTTCTATATCGTCCAGGTTATGTGGACCAATCAATTAATAGTTTTGCATCTGTTTCTTCTCTCAATTTTACAAATAAAATTGTTTGATATGTGAAAAAGCTATGATGGGATTACTGCTGTTGATATGGATTTTAGCTCACTTAATTTCAGTAAATGAGGTAATTTTCTAAAGTAATTTTTTAATGATGCACAAAAAGATGTTTCCCCTGCAACTGGCTTGTACAGTTCTCCTCTCTTCAGAGTTCATAAATGTAAGCGAAATTTAACGGCTAATTGATAAATGGAAGAGATGAGCAGGAAAGGTGTGGTTTTATTTCATCCCAAATTTTCTTTTTTTGCTATTAATGTGTATTCCACCTCATATTTTCCTGTTTATGCTAGTAAATATTTTATCAGTCATAATGTGTTCGTATTATTTTCGAACATGTATTTGCCCTGAAAAAAAATAGTTATGTGAATTAGTTTTAACATTCTTTAATTGCCTGTTTATTGCAGTGAATGAAAGTTCGAAAGAGGTAGATGAACATATTTCGTTGCAATCCGATAATGAGTATATTGTGGATAGTGTCAACTTGGTGGATAATAGAGTAGTAGGAGTAGATAGAGTAGATGATGAGATATTAGGAGTTGATGGAGCGGATGATGGGATTGTGGGAGTAGATGGTACAACAGTGCCCAAGGTTGGTATGAAGTTCAACGACGAAAAAGATATGTATGATTACAAAAGATATGCGTACAACATAGGCTTCCCAGTTAGAAAAAGGAATTCCCAAAAGGATGATTATGGAGTTGTGAGGTATGTTGTGTTCACATGTAGCCACGAAGGACAAAGAAATAGTAATGCAACTGGTTCTTTGAAGCCACACGTTACCATTCAGATGGGTTGTAAAGCAAGAATTACTGCTTCTGTAGATGCATGTGGAATATGAAAAATAAACACAGCCAATCTCAATCACAAAACAAGTCCTTCGAAATCAAGGTTGTACCATTGCAACCGAGAGTTGAGTGCCCATGTCAAATGACGACTTGAAGTGAATGATACAGCAGGGATTCCACTGCACAAAAGTTACAACGCTGTAGTTGTAGAAGCGGGTTGGTATGAGAACTTGACTTGCATAGAAAAGGATATTCGAAACTATGTTGAACAAGTTAGGCGATTACGACTTGGAGACGGAGATGCTGCAGCAATACAAGCCTACTTTTCGAAAATGCAAGCAAGGTGTTTGGGTTTTTACTTTATTATGGATTTAGATGATGAGTAGCGCTTGAAGAATATTTTTTGGGCTGATAATTATAGGCAAGCATATAAAGAGTTCGGCGATGTTGTAACATTTGACACGATGTACCTAACTAACAAGTACGACATGCCGTTTGCACCTTTTGTTGAGCTTAATCATCACGGACAATCAACGCTACTTGGTTGTGGTTTGGTGTCCAACGAAAATACAGAAATATTTGTGTGGTTGTTCAGGATTTGGCTTCAGTGCATGCATGGTCAAGCTCCTAAGGGAATTATCACCGATCAAGATAAGGCCATGCAAAACGCAATTCAGATCGTTCTTCCAAACACTCGGCATAGGTGGTGTTTGTGGTATATATTGAAGAAGTTCCCAGAGAAGTTTGGATACCACGTCGGTAAGGGTGTGATTTTCTCTACTATACATGTGTTGGTGTATGATTCTCAAATCGGTGAAGAGTTCGAAGAGGGTTGGGAAGCGATGATCAATAACTTTAACATGCATGATAATGACTGGTTATCTGGATTGTATGCGAACAGAGGTCGTTGGGTACCTTGTTATTTGAAAAATACATTTTGGGCTGGAATGTCAACGACTCAGTGCAGTGAGAGCATGAATGCGTTTTTCGATGGATACGTACATTCGAAGACATCGCTCAAGCAATTTGTCCAACAATATGAGAGGCCATTGAGGAATAAGGTGGAGAAGGAGTTTCAAGTGGATTTCAAGTCCTTCTCGCAAATGGTACCATGTGCTACGAAGTACGAGATGGAGAAGCAGTTTCAGCTAGTTTATACGATCTCGAAATTTAGGGAAGTACAGGAGGAATTTGTTGGGAAGGTTTACTGCGACCTCGTTTCTTCGTCGGAGGGCTACTTGGGGACTACATATGAAGTATGGGAAGAAGTCCTACGTGACGACTGGGTTGACAAGAAGAAGTTCTATGTCACATTTCAGAAAGAGAATTGTGAAGTTGTATGCAGCTGCCACTTATTTGAGTTTCGAGGAATAATTTGCAGACATGCAATCACTGTCTTGCTCCGTAACAATGTGAAGTCCTTGCCTGACACCTACGTATTACGGAGGTGGAGGAGAGACGTCGTCAGAGCTCACACAAGGGTTGCAGTTAATTATGATGGTTTAAGTAGCACCTCGACACAGTTGAGATATGACAAGATGTGTCAATCATTTGCTAGGCTTGCGAACGTAATTGCAGATGATGAGAATGAAGTCCAATCGATACTGGAGTGGATAGAAAGCAAAGAACTATCAGTTGGGACGATGAGGTCGAGTTGTGGAAGTAATGCCATGTCCCAGTACACGGAGCGAATAGCTTCGAAGAGTGAAGCATCACAGCATTCTGGTAAAGGTATCATACAAGATCCGAAATGCTCAAAGAGAAAAGGCGCACCCAGGAAACTGCAAAGGAAAAGCGCTTTGAAATCGAGCTCTACTAAGACAAAGGTATGTGTCAACCATTTTGTGTAGTACGAAAGTGCGTAATACTATTAATAATACCCCCATTTAATTTGTTATTTTGCAGGCAAACCCGAGTTTGGCCAAGGGAAGGAGATCGAAGGCACACCCGGATCAAATGGGAGACGGTGTACCAATAATTCAGTCGCACCATCAAGCTTACTACTACATGCCTCCACCGATGTCATATTCACAACTCTTACTTGTAGGTACAATTAAATGTAAAACACTTTCATTAGCACGTGTGCTTTTACATTTTTGTTTGATGTAGGGTGGTGAGAACTATCACGAGCTTACAGAACACATACAGTCGCCCAATGTCATTCCTCCTGCTTCAACAAGTGTTATATGGAATAGTCAAGGTACTGACATGCTTAAACATGCGTCGTTCAAATACCTTATTTTCTCTTGTTTGTGTATTAACTTGTACATTTGGCACTAGGGAACGCAATGCCGTATTACTATCCGAATGTGCCTGATGAACATGGTGCAAGTTTTTGATGTTGGATGAAGAGAACTACTGGATCCGAGAATGTAGCGATGTAATAGGTTATGAGTGATCGAAATTATTGAGTTTTATGAACTTCAACTTATTGGTGCAATGTTTAAGTGTTTTAAATAAATAAAAAAATGCAGTGTTCATGAAATTGATGTGATGCTTTAATCTTATGGAATGTCATGCTTTCATATTCTTACAACCTTGGTTGTGGAAAAATGCTTGTAATTAGGGCTGAAATTAATAAGCAGTAGATAATGCACTTATTAATTGAATGTGTTCTGGATTAAAATATTGCATGCAGGGATGTTTCTGTGAATTCTGGATTAAAATAACTCTTTGCACTAGCACTATCCCTCCAATTACAAGCATTTAATAGTTTGCATTCTCAGCATTGAAAAGTAAAACTTTGCAGTAGCAAGAAAAAAAGTATGTTGCAAACCCAGTGCAAATTGGACAATTCCATAGAATACAATGACTTTTTCGTTACAATGACTTGTTCAATTTTGAAAGGTGCAAGTAACAATATATTACACAAAACACAAATCCTAGTCATGTCAGCCCCTTCCCTTTCTTATCCTCTTCCGTACTTCCGTAGCCTTCGCGTATTGTCACGTTTACAGAAATTTCAATGTCTTGTTCTTCCACTAGGTGGCAAAGGGATTGGAACGTGTGAGTTATTTGTTAAACTTCTTCAAGTGCTGATGAGTTGTTCAAGTTAATGGTAATAGTACTAGACTCACCACTTGATTCTCCTACTTCGACCCATTCCCAGTAGTTACAGCGAACACTGCAGCAATTGAACAACCTTCCCTTGTTCTTTGTCTGCCTTTTCACGAAGCCATGTCTACACATGGGGCATCGCCGTTTGTTAGGGCAATCACAAACAAGTGCCCCTTCTCTCTACAATTGTGGCAAATTCCGAAATTCTTTCCTGTCATTCTAACATATGAACAATCAACATATTAGCAATAAATGCGTGACATACACTAAACATTGTCAAATTACAAAACTGCAAATGTGTTGGTGTTTACTGATCAATAAAGGTATGCACACAACATAGGTCTCAAATTCGAAATCTTAAAATGACCACTGATACATTACACTTCCAACATTGCCAAATTTGTTCACTTAATGATTTGAGTCCATCATTAAGGTATAACGCAGTATTCTAACATAGTACTCCCTATGTAGCACTAGAGTATTCAGTTATTCCAAAACTAAAGCCCATGCAATTAACATTTTCTAATTATACATAAACTACGAGTTAACAGCTCATCAGCATAACAAAGAAAATTCATTTCTGAACAAAAAAAATCACTAGTGCAAAAACTCAAGTCCCTAGCATTTGTCTTAATCAATTAAACTAACATACATGTTCTAAGTTGGCAAAATCACCTACTAAGAGACAACTTTTTTATTGCAAAGCAGACAACATTAGATTTCCTTAACGAAAACATTATACATCCAAAATATAAGTGCCAATGGGTATGAACACAATCTCTGTAAATAGTACATGAACTGCTAATCTTCTTGGTTGGGTATGAACACAATCTCTGTAAATAATACTAGAAGAAATGCACATAAACTTCAAATCTTTACAATTCCAATTTGGGTTGAAGAAAAAATTAAACACACACACACACCGAAAAAAATTTCTTCTTCCAGTTCGGGTGTAAGAACAAATTAAATACACACACTGATAATTTATCCTTCGTCCAATTCGGTTGGTCGAAATTTGAAATACATACATATAAATTGTGTCGAAATGGGTCGCAACTTTTGTCCCTTTTTCAATTCTTTTCAATTTCTTTTCAATTTGCAAGCATAGACTGCTGTAAAATCTTTGAACTATTTTATTATTCGAAAACAGTAAAATCGAGGAAAATGGATGTCAAATATATCATGCTTACATAATGTGTGCTGCTTGATTTCGTCGGAGGTGATGGATGGTTTTAGAGACAGTCGATTTGCAAATAGTGGCGCTCCCGTCTTACGGCTAAAAAAAAAAAAAAAAAGGCAACCGTGAGCTTAACCTAGGCTGGAAAACCCAAACATGGAGACGATTGATAAATTAATCGCTGGCTTCTTACTTCGGCTGAGATGGAGTTCTGGACTTCGAACCAATTTTCGCCTCCAAGGGTTCTCTTTGATTTGGGGATAATGGTGCGAGTGAAAATGATGAATGGGTTTGTTCAATAAGTGGGCCGGTTGAAGTTTTTGACCCAAATTAATGATTTAAGTTTTGACCTGGTTTCGTTAAAACGCAACACATCACCGTGTAAACTGACGTGTAAGGCAGCAAGTACAAGTAGCGCGGTCGATAAATAAAACAACAATTAAACCTATTGTACACCGTTGGTACACAACTTTATGTACAGCCCCCTCTCACAATGTGAGGAGTTTCTACATGAAGATTATATTTGTGTTCCCTTCAGGGGTGTATGTGTGATTGCTTTGCACCCAGCACAACTCATAAAACAAATCCAAGTGCTCAGAGGACCAATCGTTGTCGGCCATCTCTCTCCTTACATTCTTGAAGAAGAGAATTTTGGGGAAAAAATCGCATTCAGTATCCATTATATTTAGTTTACTTCAGTATTTCTATCACTGATCAAGAATATTGAATCAGTTATTGACTAAATCCTAGTTTCTAGGATAATCTTGGGACAGTTCTTGTAAAATCCCTTCCTTTTCCACAAAAAGAAAATCAACCTTGGGTTCGATTCTGGGGGAACCAAGATCTTCGCCAGGAAGCCGTGATCGCCAGTTCCAGAGAATAATTTCAAATTTCAAGCAAGTTTATTTGAAAAAAAATGCACATGGATAAAGATTTGATATTCTTGAACAGTAGAAGACTTTTAAGGGTTTGAAAACAACCCAGGCGTGGGGAGGATTTAAAGAAACAGATTTTGCATGACCTGTCGATTGGTATGAATATATGGATTTGCCATTTTTCACTTTGCTGATTGCTAGTTCTGGGTTTTTCGTTGGTTTCTTTCCACTCATTGTGGAGTCTCAACAAATGTGAAGCCTCCTCTGCCACACGTTTTCCACCCTCCACCTCCATCGCAACCGCTCGTTTCCCTACAAACTCCACGCACTCCGCCTCCACCATCTACGTTCTTGCCTTCTCCACTACCTCCATCTGATTCCCTGTGGCTTCCCCAACCTTCTACACACCCACCTCTGCCCCCTACAAAGAAAGGCCTCCGGCCCCCTCCTCCAAAGAATGCAACCTCGAAGCATGGGGATCACAATCACCAGGATTCACTTAAAAATTTGACACCCGCGAAGACGAAGAAACTTAACGAGGGGAAGAAAATTGGCTTGATATTTGTGGGAGTTGTTGCCATCTTGCAAGTTTTTGTGGTGGCATTCTTGTTGATCAGGAGAAGACAAATTGTAAAGGCCAAAGGTGACTATTAAATGAAACAGAACAGCACATTCCATACAAATCACATAATCTGTAATTTTTCTGTTTATTTCTCTTTTCGTGGCGAATAATACTCTTTTACTGTAGATATCCACTGGATTGAGTCTTGCAATTACGACAATGAATGATGATACATCATGAGATTTGAAAATTAATCAAAGTTGAGTATCTACGTCTTGGTCACAGAACAAATGAATTTGTATACTTCCTTAAGTATTATTTTTGTTATAGCTTATCATTTGTTTATTCACTAAAATATCAAAATGGAAGGTGTTTTTTTCTTTGATATCATATTGTGTATAATATATCGAGTGTATTCAGTGATTTAGGAATTTTTAGTGAAGACCTTTTAGTCTGAATATCAAATTTATGATGCAATACTGAATATTTATGGAAAATATGTATCGGCTGTATTGGAAAAATCAATTGGATTTCTGCATGGTTGGATGGTGAACCAAGATTAAGCTAGCTTTGGGAAAATAGTGTTGCAGTGGGAAATTGTCTAAATGGGAGTCATTAACCCATAGGCGCAAATTGTTCAATAAAAGCTGTACATTTGAGTTTCTTTCCTGTGTTCTGAGTATTTCTTTTCTTGCATTTATTTTTCATCTTATCTCTCTTTTGGGTGGGTGATTTGTTCGGCTAGAGTAAGTAGTTGCCATTTGTTGGGATTCTTGATTTGGACTTGTTTGAATTTGCCATGAGTGGTAGTTTTGTAGATTGTGTTGGTTACAAGTTTCAGAAATTAAAATATTTTTCTGTACCTAACTGTTAGTTGGAGCAAGCTACATCAAGATGTTTGACGTCTTTTTAGTCCTTTGTGAAAGGCATTTTATACCCTTTTCAGGTGCATGAATCCAGGATTTTCTTGCAATGGAAACGTGAATTTATACCCTGGTTAGTAAATAGTAATTACTAAATGATTGACTCAAGGATGAATTTTGTTGAAGTCATTCAGAAATAACTACTTTGCTAAATTTCAGCTCATTAAATTCATTTATCCTAAGCCTTCGAATAACCGATTCATGCTTTATGTTTACTTGCTATATGTATTTCTTCTGTGCTTGCCCATTCGGGGGAATTGTTCATGTTGTAGGAGATGAGAAGGATTGACCAGTAAATGAAACATTTTCTCTGTCAATTCTACAAACCTTAATTGGCATTATTGTGGTTTGCGACGAATATTTTGGTTCAATTGTTGAAGGAATTATTTGATATAGGAACACGAGCTTATTGATGTTAAATTAGAACCATGAGTCCCATGAGTTATAATCACCTGTTTTTAACATTGACTACTTGTCTTATTTTTACAATGACTGTATTTATGATTGTAGCGTTCTTTGTTAGAAGCAATACGTGATATCTAATATGCCTTCGTTTGGCAAAGCTTCAAAATGATAAACTACTTACTCTGAAATTGGGTAAAAAGACTTACAATTATCCGCAGTTGCATGACTAAAGATACATTTTTTCCCTGTCTCTTTATCCTTAAAATTTCAGTACTTTTACATGCCAGTCGGAGCACTTGAGGGCTGTGAAGAGTTGCTGATTCATGGAACCTAACTTTTGTTTGTAGATAAGCTGTATTTCTGCATTTTTCTTCCATCATTGCACCCTTATGATCGATCGTTTTGTTCCAACTTTTTTTGTTTTTAAATATGTTCATAATCTAGATTACTTGTGTTCGAGGATTAATACAGTAAAATATTGAGTCTAAGAACCTCCATTCTTAGGTTATAACAGAATGTTGCTAAGTATTCAATGTCGAAGTAATATTACAGTGCTATCTGGGAGCCCATCTTGTTGTTATTGAAACAATTCAAGGACGTAACACCTTGAACAGTCCAGTCCCAATAATACTTCCTAACCACGGTAGGGTAAAAAAATTAGAAACTAGCTAAGGACCAGCTATGTATCAAGGGCTCAGGCCTCAACGCATCCTTTATGAATTGATTAAGTCTTTATAAGTAAAAACGCTTTGTAGAGGTGATTCCCATCTAACTTGGTCTACTACCGATGATTTTCTTAGAAGAATTGCGGCAAGTTAATTATGTGTCATAGGCTGATTATACGAGTAGATCTGGCAGGGTATGGTCCCTCGCCTCTATGTCTGTTTCCTTCATGGGATTGCCTGATTTCCATTGAGATGTTCCCCACTCGGGTAAAGTTCCGGTCTCTATTTCTACACAGAGATATGCCCATTAGGTGAAAGTTTCTCACGGTCTCTAGGAAACTTGTTTGACTATTCTATTTTCATAGATTTATACTCCGGCCTGAACGTCTATTGTGGGGGCAGAAGGCCTGATTTGGTAAAATAATCTTAGATTTGACAAGAATTCATACAAAAATTGAGTTGTTTTCAGTAAGCTATTGGTCTGAAAAATGAAAGGTTTGAATAGTTGTTAGCCTCTCTTGAAGATTCGAATCCCAGGTCAACCCAAGAAACACAACCTTTTCGACTTAAACAATAATATTTATATCTATAGTATATTTAACATCGAGTGGCAATTATTTTTTAGACGATTCTATCTTTATTATAATTCAATTATTTTTTAATAATATCTTACTTTTTATTTTTCATTATCTATTTAATTATTTCAATAATACTATATTTTTTGTTTTTCAATAGGTATTTAATTTATTAATCATTTGAACAGTACTATCATCAATTATTTTGTCAACTATTTAGTTATGATGAATGTACATTAAACGCATTCATTATCTTCTTTTTTGTTTTTCAATATGTATTTATTTTATTTAACCATTTTCGGCGGATTCATTACCTTTTCGTTTTTAAATATGCATTTGATCAATACGATACTTTTCGTTTTTCAATTTGTATTTAATTTATTAATTTTTCGAACCATTTGAACAATATTATTATTAATTTTTTGTCAACTATTTAGTTATGATGGATGTATATTTGACACATTCATTATCTTGCTTTTCGTTTTTCAATATGTATTTAATTTATTTAATCTTACTTGACATATTGATTACCTTTTTGTTTTTAGTATGTATTTGATTTATTAATCATTTGAACAATATTATATTTTGTCAATTATTTAGTTATGATCAACATACATTTGACAGATTTATTTCACTTGATTTGATAATAAATTAAATGCATTAAAAAAATTTTGGAGCAAAAGGTGAAGATTTTTAGAGTTCTCTTCCAATTTGTTTATGTAGTGAATGTTGAGATACAACGTTTATTAAAAAAAAAAAAAAAAAAAAAAAAAAAAAGAACAAGAAAACGGTTAAAAAACATCAAAACTTCCAAGATGACAGCAGGCCAAATCTTTTAATTTGCTTTAATTTGTTTCTTCCCACAGAGATCAAAGCCCTATTCATAAATTATCAAATGCTCCGCTCCCTGCCTCCCTACCCAACTCCGTCCGATGACACGATTCTAAAAACATCTTAGGATGAATAGATGAATCATCGTACTTAACTTCCCTACATTTCCTGATGATCCGATGATTTTCATAATTTTCCAGATATTGCTGGTCTTGCTTGCAACAAGTATCAGGGGTAAATCGAAGGAAAAATTATGCACAGCCAATGGAGTTTATGTAAGTCAAACTTTACAAGAACGTGAACTTCCTTTCTGGAAAATTGAAGTATGTAGTGATATTGTTTCAATACAAGAACATTGAACTCATTTTTATTTTCCTTTCACTTGAAGGACATCAAAATAATTATCAATTATGATTCAGTAATATGTCTACTGCAGATTCTGTTTTTACTGTTGATGAAACTTAGATAATATTCATTCCGTTTCCTTAGTCGGGAATGCTTTTAACGCGGAATATACATCTTACTCGGATTGATCAATTGACAGCTAAATTCCATCATCTTTTATTCTTTTTATCTCTTCACTTTTTGCTTTTTGGACGGCGAGACTTTTTCGATCTTTCCACCTTTTGACTTCTTTGCCAGATTTTCTTTAAATCCCACTCTTAGGCTCTCATATCAGAATCAAGTTGGCTTTCAGACACTAACAAGAAACCAACTTTCATACTTTCTTTTCTCTAGTTCCTCAATGGCTACTTCTGCTTATTCGTCATGTCAAAATTCATCTCCAAGAGGATTAGCCATGGTTCTAGCAATGGTGTCTGCACTGGTGCTTTCGCCATTATACTTCAACTGGAAAAATGAAAGCTATTATAAGACGAGGTGGAGCTCTGGCTTTGTCCTACCTGTGGTGCTTGCTGGATTGATTGTAGCCATTAAAACGACTTCATCTAATTCAGTGAAGAGAGGAAGTAGAGCATCAGTCTCTCCATCTCCGGACGAGTTGACGTTGCTCAGAATCGGGAATTCCTCATGGGGACTTGCCGGAATTTTGATCATGCTTATGTTTGTACTTTCACTGCAAACCTCCGCACAACACTTTTTCTGGAGATGAGAGAGCAAATTGCTTCGTGATATCATATGTGATTGAGAACTGTTTTTAGTTTTTCAGAAGGTAAAACAAAAGATGGTGATGGCTATTGGAAAATCAGCAACATAGAAGCCAATGCTCAGGACAGATAATCGTTAATGTAGTTACTCAGGCTATCCAGTTAGTTCATTAAATAAAATGCTTACTCTTCTTCCGCAACAAATGGTTATAAATAAGCAAATCAAATCTTTGGAACTTCCATTAAACAATATACCAGTACAAATCACACTTCTATGGAATTTCATAATCTGGTTCCTAACGGTAGCCCATGACATCGCAGGGACAAATAAATTTGTGAAATCAACAGCATTCATCTGATTTTTGAGGAACAATTTCCGGTTAACCATTTTTCTTCGTAAGAGCAGTTCTTTTTAAGGCTGCATAGTCTATATACAGGAGTCACCAGTGTCACATTTGAATGTTATACAACAAAAAAAAAAAAATAAATAAAGATCGACTTCTCAAGTACCCATAGCACTGGCAGCAGGCACTGTGCTTGACATAGTAACACCACGATTATACATGCGCTGAATCTCTTCCCGGCACTCTGTTAAAGACTTATCTGGTATGGCTGGAGTTAGTTCAACCACATCGCCCATTTTTAGCTTGCAGGTCGGATCATTGACTTGTTGATGGTTCAGCCGAGGCCTTAGCTCCTCCTTAAGAGGGAATCCATACGGTGTCCATCTAGAACTACCCTGACCAGCCCTTTCCAGCAAATGCATAACAGAAGAGTTTGCTGGGAACTCCTGAACTGACATCTACAGATCCGAACAACAGATAATAGGTCATGCTTGGTACCATAAAACTGAACGCTTATGCACCACAACTATTCTATCATGGCAAAAACCCCCCAAAACAGCACGGAATTGGACAAAACCATCCAAAAAGGAAAACATAAAAGATTAGCAGCCATACCAGCATCACAAATTCAATAAAGCAACTCTCTTAAAGGGAAGGTTTAGTCTCCGACGAGAACAAATTCCTAGAACTCCAGAAGTGTTCTTTTTTTTTTTTTTGGGGGACAACGTATTCAACTTCTAGTTTCAAAAGACTGAGATGAAAGTATGATGACATGGTAAAACCAAAAAACACTGGACAGAATTGAACAATTCACGTACCAGAAACACCATAATTAGTTCTTTTATTTGAAAAAAAAATCCAGCACAAAAAATATATGCAGTAGCAGATACCAAAGAACTGAAATCTCGTGAACAAACCTTTTCATTCTCAATCACGATTACAAAGACAGGTCCATCAGATGCACACTGAGGTCTGCAAGAAAATGGGCAATCCTCAGTATGAATAGGGAATGTGCAAGGTGGCTTCGAGGATTCAACAAAGCCAATCGAAGAGCTGTCTTCTTTCATAGCCTCGCACTGCCAGGTGATGACCCAACGTGCCCATTCAACCATCTGAAGAATGAACGAAGAGTGTTTACAGTCACCTTCCTTGTATCTCCAATGAGCGGCAAATCCATACTCCGCTTGCAAATGCATCTCTTTTGTTCGAATTTGAACTTCAAGGGGAACCATACCCTCACCTCTTACTACTGTATGTAGTGATTGGTACCTACAAATTTTAAATTTGAGTTAAGCATAATAGAAATGATGTATTAAGCACAACATTTCCCTTTGAAACATAGCATACCCATTAAACTTGGGATGTAAGATGTAGTCCTTCAACCTCCCAGGCACTTCACACCACAGCTGGTGTACAACTCTCAGAGCTTTATAACAATCTTCCTCAGTTTCAACAATCAATCTCAACCCGTGAATATCATGAATTTCATCCATATTCAGCTTCTTTCTGTAAAAGATAGAAAAGTAGGAACTCATGAGAGTTACATCATTAACTCGATCATATGCCACATTATACACTGAAGACTAGCGGAATAACTCACTACATAGAAGACTTTGTTGCCACAATATAATTTTTGAAACTGTATGAAACGTTCCACATCAAATGCATTCAC